TTATTCAATCATTTCATCTTGTAACAATAATTAATTGATCATAACCTAGCTCAACTATCTATTCTTCAACTCAAATTGCCATGACTCTTTCGTTCTTTACCTATTTTTAATCAATCATTCCTTCATTTTCCGGTGTGCATAATTTTGTCAATATTTATAAGCATCATTCTTGTCATTCCTTCCTTCTTTCCTTCATTCATTCATTCATTCTTTCATATATTATTTCTCCATCCATCCATCAGCCACTGGCAATTTGCGGAAAAATACATTACACAATTTATCGAATGTTAGGTTTAGATTTTGAGCCTTTGAACCAGGCAACTTCAACACTTGATACAACATTCTTAACAACTAAGCTACTAAGCATCAGACTCAACACTACACCACCTATCTTCAAATACAAAAAAATAGATAAATAACTAACCCAAAAAGCGCGGCGATTATGAAACCCAAAAAACTCACTTCAAATTTTTACAGGTTTCTGCTATTAAAATTAGTCACACAATATGTTACTAATACTATTGCCAAAATCATTAATCCCTCTCTCTTCCCAAAACTTTAGAGAAAAAAATTTTCAATTTTCTATTAGGCCAAATTTTTAGTTAATTTAGAATTTGCAATAAATTATAAAAATGGCTAGCCCGTTAACGCTATTTGAAGAAGGAGGTTTTTATTTTATTGATAGCTACAAAAATTTAATTAGTTCCAACAATTTTTTTCAAAATAAAATTTCCCCCCAAAACATTAAGTGGGCGGAACGTGATTGCCACACCCTCCCCCTTCTGCAGGTGCCCTCCCTGACCACCATTATTTCCAACTGCGTGGAGAAGTGTTTTTGTAAAAATAAACAAACCAAAATTTCTGCGATCTATAATTTGTAATAAATAAAAGTTTTTTCTGATCTGGGATGAAGGTGATTAATGATTCATCTGTTATTTAGTGCAAACATTCTTCCGCTCGAATTTTTTTTTGAACTCCCATGCTCCCAAAATTATCGTGCAGCTACTGCTGATAACATCTGACATGGTCATTAGGAGAGAGGAAGAATGATTATTCGAGATAAAATGGGCTTTCAAACATTAAAATGAAAGTTAAATTTAAAAATAAAAACATCATTAATGCTACTGATAGTCGTTATAATAATAAAACCAAGAACCATAGATAAAAATAAAACAAGAATAATAAAACCGATATAAATAATTATTTTTTTTATAAAATTTATACCAATAAATCATGAAACATTTTTCTGACAGAAGTCTCTCAAAACTGCAGAGCAAACGCTGAAGAACAACAAAGAAAACTTCACGTTGAAATTATAGCGCGCACCACTGAGACATTCGTCAACCAAGTTTTGAACCCTGGCTCGCTTCAGTGGATGGATGGATGGATGGATGGACGGATAAATTGATGGATGGTTGGCTGGTTAATTGGTTGGATGGCTGGTTGGTTTGCTGGTTGGTTTGCTGGTTGGTTTGCTGGTTGGTTGGCTGGTTGGTTGGCTGGCTGGTTGATTGGTTGGTTGACTGGCAGGCTGGTTGGTTGGCCTAGCAGTCTGTGCACGCAAAGGTTATAGATTAGCTATTTATCCTCTGTTTTGTTTGTGTATGTATATGTATATTTGTGTGCCTATTTGTGTACGTAGATGCCGATGTGTGTACGTATAAACACGTTCATATGTATTAATATATAATATCTTACATTATAGGCTGATCGATTCATAGTTGTTTGTAAGTTTGTGTATATGGACACACATTACTATTTGGAATACCTGGAGACATCATTTGATTGATATCCTTTTATCAAATTTTTAAATTCATTGATTAACAAATCAAAAAATCCACTGTGTTTATGTATTTTTATTTCTTTATACTATACAGTGAATCTTTCTCACATATCAGAACAGGTGCGCAAGCATTTTTGAATGTACTCAACATATGAACATTTTGTTCAATAAACACAAAATAATTACTAATAAACTAAAAAATACTAGTGCAAACAAACAGACAAACAAACGAACGAACAAACAAACGAAGAAACTAACCAAAAAACAAACGATTCATAGGGCTTGCATGCTTAATATCCACAACCATAAAGAATATAGTACGGTGAATGAATGAATAAATAAATGAATGAATGAACGAATGAACGAACGAACGAATAAAGAATAAAGGTAATATGGCAGAGGCGTGGAGCAATTCTATGTTTTCCAGATATGATAACCACAGACAACACGTTAGTGGCGTTATTAGAGCATATGCCCATATGCTATTCATATAACACATCCATGCATGCACATACATTTGTAGAAAAGTATTTCATTTTTATCTTTTATTTCTTCCTTTTCCTCTCTCTCTCTCTCTCTCTCTTCCTATTTACTTTTCCGTTTTTTTTTCTCCCACTCTACTTTGCTTTTATGTTTGGGCTTGCTTTCTTTTTACTCTCTTTCTCTCCTTTTGTTTGTCTGTGTTTGTTTGTGTGTGTGTGTGGTGTGTGTGTGGTGTGTACGTGTGTACGTGTGTGTGTGTAGGTTTGGTGTGTTTGTATGATGTGTATATGGGCAAAGAACTGAATTCAGGAGTAGTTATCCCAAAGAGATAGATGAAGAGATTAACCCTTGGCCGATTATGCACACAACGCCTAGAGTTAAATCACCCATTCAATATTTTTATTATTAATGTTTGCTGAG